GTAAGGCACTTGTTTCTACTAGCGATGCACTTGTTCCTAGTAGCTTCGTGTTACTACTAGTATGGCACTTGTTACTAGAAGCGATGCACCACTGTGTTTTGCAGTGAAATCTGCCTCAAATATACCTAGGTGTTGAGCTAATCTTGATCAACTTCTGTTCAGACCAGGCCTCCATGGATTTGAAGAGAATACAAAAACAAAAAAGTGTCAAAAAAGACATGAGGCCACTATAGGATTGGAGCCATTTATCTCAAACAGGTTTTCTTGTGTGCTTGTTTTGTTGTAGCACCTTCTTCACTTCGCATGTAGCCTTCAAGCTCCCATGATTTTCACCAGGTCTATTGCAAAAGAAACGGAGCTGAAACAGGTCTATTGGGCCAGTACTCAAGCAGTTGGTATTTCCGTCTTGTCTTGCTTGTTGACTATTGGCAGGCTCTCGTTCCTCTTATTCAACTCGTTCGCTGGACCTGTCTTCCTTTCTGTTTCTTTGTTCTTTCCAACCTAAGAGCCATGGCCTCTGATGGCCTCCAACCTAATAGCAATGGCCTATGTTCATTTAACTCTTCCTCTCCCCTCGATATTCTTCCCAGCAAGCGGTTCGCACAGTTATTGTTTCTCTTATGTTTTTGGACTATGTTTTGCTTATGGTACATGGAACTCTTCAATTAGCAAGTGTCCAACTTTAACAGTTGTTTTTTTCTAAGCCTGTTTGGACTAGGAAGAGCTTGAGGAGATAGATATTGAAAAACATATATGGAAGAATAGAAAGAGTCAATGTTCAGCGGTATTATTATTATCTATTGGAGTAATAGAAAGGCCAGTTGAAATGAGGGCGACATTGCTAAGGAAAGAGTGTTGAAGCTCAAGTGAGCTCAAGTGCTGAAGCTCAAGGCCATCGCTATTAGTAACAAGGGCATCGCTACTAGTAGCAAGAATGCTACTAGTAGCTTCTGGCATTACTAGCTAATTTGCTAATAGCTATTTGCTTGGCGAATTTTCCGGTGCTACTAGTAGAAAGAGGACGCTACTAGGGTTTTGTTTGGCGGTGCCCTCTCAGGCACGCTCTCAAGGAGAGCAAACGAAAAGAGGGAGGGAGTCTTTGTGTTTGCCTTCCGTCTTTTAATTCAGTGTTTTCTTCATTTTGATCTTTAGATCTTCATGTTTCTCTTTCTGATCTCTTTAGATCTTTCTTTGGACCTGGTGTCTTACGGCACGCGAGCGCGGTCGCCTGGAAATCTGAATCCATCCATTCGTAGGGGATGTTCCAGCCTGGACACGAGTCGCGAGGAGCCGCAAAGGGCATCGCTACTAGGAGCGAAGGACGCTACTAGGGGCTCCTGCCCTTACTACTAGGAACAAGAAGCTACTAGCAACACGAGCATTACTTTGGCAATGGCCTCCAACCTACTAGAAATGGCCTCCAACCTAATAGAGAGAAGGCGAACAACGTTAATGTCTCAATACATTGTTTTTCTTGTTTGTCAAAACAATGAGACCTTTCCTAATTCAATATCGTCTTCCTTTCCTCCCCTTTCTTCCTGTCTCTTTCTCTCTTCCTTTCTTAGTGAATAGAAAGCCGCAAGAACAGAGAAAACTGGTTTCTGCGCACCTATGGGGCCAAACTTTCGGCGTTCCAGGATCACAGCGTGGAAGAATGCCAGGCCGAACAAAAGCTTTTTGAACCTCAAAGCGAACAAATGGAACAATGATGTAAAGAACAACAAGAAACGATTTAAAGAACAAAATATGTTCATTCTGTTGTTACATATTCTTCTTTGAACCTATTTTGTGTATGTTTATGTTGCACGAATCATGTTTCAACATGGAAACCGTGTTTCGAACAAGGGTGATAACACCCTCAGTGTCATGCCTGCCATACATGGCCAAGGTGTGCAAACCTTGGCTGCCCCACTCGAATGGTTTCGAAGGACAGCCTTCGAAGACATCCTAGGGTGGATTGCAAACAGCCCAACTTGCTGTGGAGGTTCTGGGGCCACCCTACAACGAACTTTTGCAATTCTGATGAATTTTGCAATGAACAATCAAGATTCAATTCCTTAAAAGGGACAAAAGTAACAGGAATTGCAATTACCTCTTAGGTTGGAGAATGCAGGAAAAGGGGCAACATGCTGCATAATCTTGCACAATCGCAAAATCCTGCAGTCCTCTGCAATATCTTGGTACGTACGGCCCAGATTCGCACGCAGTCCTTTCAATTCAAATCCCAAAGCTATTAGGAACAAGTGCCACGCTACTAGTAACAAGTGCCTCGCTAGTAGTAACAAGAAGCTATTAGGAACAAGTGCATCGCTTCTACCATTCCCAACTGTTCCAGCCACTAGAGCGGAGGCTACGAACGGGGCTCCTGGCCTTACTAGGAGTAAGGACACTACAGGAATCGGCTCATTTGAAAAACATGTTTGTCCTTTGGAAGTCGTGTAGCAAAGGACGCAGAATTTTGGATGTCGTTGGCCCTTTGTTTGCTCCGCTTCCCTTGGTTTGCTTGTCGACTCTTACCTTCCCTTGGTTTGTTCCCTCATTTGGAAAGTAATCTTTGCTCACTCCTTTAACTGCCCTCAACCCATTGATGAGGCACAGCTGCAGTCATGAAGCTAATACCACCTCACCCTCCACGCCCAAAAAGACCTTCAATGTACACTTACGTGGACAGAAAGAAACTTGTCTGTACACTGTACCCACTGCAGTGGCAGTATCTGATAAAATGCACTTCATGTGATTCATACTGATTCATCACCTCACACCTTCCAGAGCTAGTCATCACGGCATCTCATGCACGAAAGATCTTCGGAGCGCCAACCGCAGGGTTGGGTCGGGCGGCAAGGGTCTTCCGCTCGCTCGCTCGCTCGCTCGCTCTGCGTGTTTCACTTCATACCACGAACCAACATACACGCATCGGTGTCGCAGACCTTGAAGCGAAGTCAACATGTTTGACAAGAGAGTATCAACTGCTAAACGTGTCTTTGTTTGTTGCTTTTGCACGCAGCCTCGCAGCCTCTTGGTGAATAGTCTCGTCTAGATGGAAGTCTGGTTAGAACAAATTGGCGCGAGCATCGAGCTTCCACCATCGAGACATGATACGACAGTTGATTTGGTTGAAATCTTGAAGTACCTTAATAGCTAATTGATAGCTAATAGTAACAAGAAGCTACTAGGAACAAGTGCATCGCTTCTAGTAACAAGTGCCTTACTAGCCTTACTAGTAGTAACAAGAAGCTGGGGCTCCTCGCCTCACTACTAGGAGCAAGGACGCTACTAGGAGCTCCTGGCCTTACTACTAGGAGCAAGGACGCTACTAGGAACTTTTTGGCCTCCAGTAGTAGTGGCCTCCACCCTAGTAGCGATGGCCTCCACCTAGTAGTTTCCTTGTTCTTTCTATTCTTGTTGAAGACAAAATCATACCAACTCCGGTGTGACAGCATTGTTCTTTCCGTGGCCTTTTCGATTGTGACCCCAGTGTCGGTTAGATTCGTCTCTTCGTTTTTCCGCTCCGTGACATCACTCGAGAAAGTTAGCGTGTGACCTTGAGTTAGAACGTTCCGTGGAACAAAACCTCCACAGCAAGTTGGGGTGTTGCAATCCGCCGTTACTAGCGATGGCCTCCAACCTATATAAAAGCATGTTTCTTTGAAGTGCCAGGTCACGACACAGAGAGCTCACGTTTAGTGGTGGACTTGTGTCCTCCTACGACCTCAGCAGTCGGAAGTGGTGTTAAGTGTAGATCGGGTTTTTGAAGGCACTGGCTGGTGCAACTGCAACGAAGAAAAGTTATCGTTGTTGTTTCCATCCTAGGAACAAGAAGCTACTAGGAGCAAAGGGCCTTACTACTAAATATAAATAGAAACAAGAAGCTACTAGTAACAAGTGCATCGCTTCTAGTAACAAGTGCCTTGCTAGTAGTAACAAGAAGCTACTAGGAACAAGTGCATCGCTACTAGTAACAAGTGCCTTGCTAGTAGTAACAAGAAGCTACTAGTAACAAGTGCATCGCTTCTAGTAACAAGTGCCTTACTAGTAGTAACAAGAAGCTACTAGTAGGGATTCGGTTTGAGACTTCCTGGTCCGTGACGTGGATGCACTGCTTGTCGTGTGGCTCTTTGCTCTTTCCTATAGGTCCAAAGAAGAAAGGACACCAGCATCCAGGCTCCAAAGCGCACACAGGCACCTCTTCCTATACTTGAAGTAAGAGCGGCTATCTGGGGAATAAAACCACGGCACTGATAAAGTAGATAAACCACTGCACTTAAGTCGATCGTCTAAACGACTGGATCCTCATCCTCGACGGTCCTTTCGGAGGTTCATTGGTGATCTTGATTCCACTTTGCAGAACTGGAACGGGAAACTTCGGAGATGGCATGCTGGTCAACCAAAGCCTGGGCGAAAGGACAGCGCTCTGTGGGGAGAGCGAGCATCTTTTCTTTTTGGCCCCGGCAAAGTAGGCCGTAGAGGTGAGGTAGGTTAGCCAGGTAGGTAGCGAGTAGAAGCAAACGGTAGCTAGTAGCTACTAGTAAGCTTCTAGTATGGACGCAGGATAGCGAAGACGCTTCTTCAAGGAAGCTCCCCCCCGCCACCCTAAAGGCGGGGAGCTTTGAAGAAGCGCTCGCACTAGTAGAAATGCCCTCGTTCCTAGTAGCGTTACTAGTAGTAACAAGTGCCACGCTAGTAGTAACAGGTGCCTTACTAGTAGTAACAAGAAGCTATTAGAAACAATAAGCTAATAGCTTCTTGTTACTACTAGTAAGGCACTTGTTCCTAGTAGCGATGCCCTTGCTACTAGCTCCTTGCTCCTAGTAGTAAGGCCAGGAGCCCCTAGAAGCGTCCTTGCTCCTAGTTGCGATGCCAGGAGCCACTAATGGCGTCCTTGTTCCTAGATTTGGTTCCTAGATTATTTGGAAAGCTTAACTACTATCGATAAAGGACGAAGAAAATCAAACAACATCAAACAACCAAATGAAGATTTCAAGCTTGGAGTTTCCCAAAATCATTCAGGCTTCTTCAAGGCATCAAAGCAGCTCCCCCCGCCACCCTGCTGCCTTGAAGAATCCTTTGCCCTTCTGCGTCCAGAGCTACTCATGACCTAACCCAGACCTACCGGCCATTTCGACAAGCGCCCCTGGTTCCTTCCATCCAAAGTGCTTCCAGCACTATCCAGCCCCGGTATGGCGCTGTCCAGCCCCTAGTAGCTTCTTGTTACTAGTAGCTTTTGTTTCTAGTAGCGATGCCAGGAGCCCCTGGTAGGCCAGGAGCCCCTAGTAGCCCCAAAAAGGGCTCTTTTCCGCATTGCGCTGATCGAATTCGCCAACTCGAAACGCCCGCCTGTAGTCTTCGTTGATCTTCTCGGGGTCTTGTGATTCCTGGATGGCCTCGAGCCTGCACCGCTTTGATGCAAACGAGACGGCAACGAGACAATAGGTCGTTGCATGGGTAAAAAGACTTGAAGAAAAATACTTTAAAGGAACCTACTAGCGATGACCTCCACCTACTAGCGTTGCATGAGCAAAATGCTCTTGATTTGTTTCAAGGCCGCTACCTACAGCTTTCCGGTGGCTTTTGAATGCATTCTTGCTTCATTCTACACCATGAGCGGTGAAGTCAAGCGAAGACTCCCAGTCCTTGGCATCCAGCTATCTGCCAAATGGCAATTTTGCAAGCAAACCCAGTCGCCTGTGTCCCAACCTCAGAGCTATAAACCGCTTAGCAAAGCCACAATTCAGTTCTTGCACAAAGCTGCTTGCTGTCTATTTAGCCCGTGGCCCTGCCTCCTTAATTTTAGTAGGCGCCTACTTAAGTAAGCAAGGGAGTAAGCTCCTAGCTACTAAAGACGCTCCTAGCTAGGACGCAGCATAGCTCACGCTCCTCACGCTTCTATCAGATCCTGACAGCACAACCTACTAGCGATGGCCTCCAACCTAACTGCTTGTTTGAGGTTTTTGTATGTGGAAGACACTCCCTTCCTCCTTTTACTGCTACGACGACTGCTACTACCACCTGAGGAGCATTCTCCTCCTCAACAAACATTCTTGTCAATCGGTTTTCGCCGATGTCACTCTTGCACTTGACTACCCCTCTTCCTTCTTCAAAAACGAACACGGCGAGCCCTATTTATAAAATCTAGGAACCCTGTCATGTAGATAGTGCTCTTCAAAGGAGCATTGAAAAACCCTCGGTCCTCACATCTAGCAGCTTTCTGTCGCTTACTAAACTAGCCGCTTCTGAACTACTTCCCCCCCTCAACAACACAAGGAACTGGGCAAAATACAGAAGCCAAATTCAAAAGAAAAGGGACTCTGTGTGTTCCCCCCCAAAAAGAAAACAACATGAAAAGTATTCTTTCTTCAAAGAATTCTTGGCTCATTCTTCCCACTCAGGGTCATGCCAAGCTTGATCAGTGCTTCAGCCTTGGGGCCCTGGACATTTACGAGTCAGAAAAACATGTAGAAACATAACGGATTCTGAATTTAAAGATGTTGTGTTTTTTTCTCATTTGCTGCTTGTGCTTTTCTCTGGCATGTGCATGTTTAAGCCGTTCTGTTTTAAGTGTTCTTTTCACGTGCTGCTCTTTCTTGGTCCATTTCTTTGTTCTGTTTATATATGTGTTTTTTAAATATATATGTGTTTTTAAAGTGGTTTTCCCAGTAGCGGTATTGTGATTGTTCTGTCTTTCCGTCGGCCATTTTTCTGCTGTTTCTGTTTTCGTTCGAAGAATGGTTTTGGGCGGCTAGAATGCCCCGCGCTCTACAGCATTTGCTAGTGTTTGTCCCTTGCAACATGTTCTCCCGCCTGCCCTTGGCCCAACGAGATAAAATGCAGCTTCTCGGTGTAGCCCTTCTCTGCGGCCAATGTCAACAAGTACCTCAGACCGCTTGGTTATGTTTTCCATGCAATGTTGCTTGTCGAGACAACTGGAAAGCGCGCTCAGTGGGGTCAGCTCCGGCTGATAGTACGAAGATGAGAGGCATTGTGGCAACAGAGTCCTTAGACCATAACGTCACACATTCAGGACGCGGGCGGCGGATGACGAGAACTAAAACAAGAACCCCATGTGGAGAAAAGGAACACAAAAGAACAGAAAAGAAAAAGAACTGAAGAAAGGTCTAAAGAAAGAAAGACAGAATGAAAGAAACACACCTGCTGCTAGGTTCTTCTGAATTTGATGTTTTAAGAATGCTTCTCTCACAATGGAAACATTCTTTTGTTGTTTCTCGAATGGAAAGCATCCTCAGGTGCCAGCCCTCACTGCATAGTCTTTAGTTGAACCGTTCTTCCTTCATTTGTCTTTCAAACCTTTAGACCTTTAGACCTTGTGTTTCTTTTTGAATGGTTTCTCCATCTGTTCTGTCTTTGCTTAGACCTTTAAGTAGACCTGTCTATATCATTTTCTTCAGCTCTAGTGGACATAGCATGTTCTGAATCAAATCTGGATGGCTTGCGCTGAGAGCAGAGCAGCATAACAACTCGCTAGGTTGAAAGGCGGCGACCTCAACGCACTCGTCCCTCGCACTTGTTACTAGTAGAAACAAGTGCCACGCTAGTAGTAACAGGTGCCTTACTAGTAGTAACAAGAAGCTATTAGAAACAATAAGCTAATAGCTTCTTGTTACTAGTAGCGATGCCAGGAGCCCCGTTCGTAGCGTCCTTGCTCCTAGTAGCGATGCACT